TATAAATGATCGTTGGTATGTATCATTAATTGATTATCCATATGATATTTATCCTCCATATATATCAACAGAATGTTATTTAATGACACGATATAATGCACGTTTATATTATATAGCATCAAAATATACTCGATTATTTTATTTTGATCATATTTATATGGGACTTTTATCTTATTCAATGTCAACAAATTTAATTAAAAATAATCAACTTTTTTCAACATCATCTTCATTATCAAATAATTTTGTAAATAATGAATATGGATTTTTATCGAAATGGAAATTATTTTTTAATTCTAATAATAATATTAATTCAACATTAAAACCAATCTGTATTCGAGGACATCGTGCTCAATATTTAATTGACATTTGGAATAAAATTCATCAAACAAATATTTCATTTTCATTTGAATTATAATAGTTCTTGTTTTTTTTTGTTTTTATCTATTATGTTTATCTCGAAAGATAAATTATATTTATCTCTCATATAGAGAACATAATATCAGCTAATTTACACTTATTTTAGATGTTAAATAAATAAATAAAATGAAAAAAAAAAATTTTCTTTGTGGAGTTATTGAAGGTATGATTAACTATAATCGCTTCATATTTAAATATTATTTTTATTTATAATAGATTAAATAATCAGTAAAATAGTTGATAAGTAAAAAGTATATCAATGATCACAGTAATGAAATTTTCAGTTCCCTCCCCGCAGAATCAGTAACGCATCGAGGATTTTTTAGTATGTTAAATCTCAACTTTCGAGCATGAGACCCAGATAAAACTCATGGAAGGTGATGTTGGATCTAAATGATGGAATTTTATCAACAAAAATTAGCATTTTCCTGATCTCCTTCTAGAATCTTTTGCTGTTAGTAGTATCAGGGTTTTTAGAATTTCATCTACAAATATGCAATCGTTCAAGAGTTACAAAATTTTTGAATTTTTGCATAATTTCTAAAAGTCATACCTCTTGAACGGTTGCATAGTTTTTAGACGAAACTTAAAATCTATCGATGAAATTCGGTGTAGCTTCCTATGAAATCCTAAAAACCATGATACTACTAACACTAAGAAATTCTAGAGGGGAAGATCAGGAAAAAGCTACCTTTTTTGTTGATAAAATTCCATCATGTAGATGTAACATCCTCTTCCATGAGTTTTCTCTGGGTTCCATGCTCAGAAATCGAGATTTAGTATACTTAAATATCCTGGATATGTCACTGTACAGAATAAAAGCATATCGCCGAAATCAGTACTGGTTAATTTTCATGGAAATCTACATGATCTTAAACGATAAGCTGTTCCGAAATATCGACATGTAGTAATGCGCTCTGTGAAACTGCATCTATCAAACCATATCGGGTGCAGCTGATAGCGACTATGCGGGTGTGGGGTGGGGTGGGTGTGGGTGTGGGCGTGGGTGGGTGTAGGTGGGTGTCTCTTCTTCCTGTACGCCCACACCCCCACCCACACCCCCACCCCCACCCACGGC